ACATAAAATTAGCAAAATTGCAAGGGCAAGGCAACATTAACTTTCCCTGTATACACACCCACATCTTTGGAATGCAGAAAAGCTTGCAATCGGGCGAACAAGTAGCGAGTCATTATTTTTGTCGCTCCCCATAAATTATTTTTTCCTGAAATAGTAAGAGGAATCCCTAAAGCTATTTACTGTCTGTATCCTTTTCTACCTCGGCGTATTTACAAAGGGCAGTGTTGCGATGAGGCAAGGTTCTGTCTAATTCTTTATTCAAATCTTAGCGATATGCCGAAAAAGATTTAGACAAGTAAATTTAGTTTTTCGTGGCAAATCCCAAATAAAAGGAAAATATGTCGACTAATAAAGACCATTTAAATAATGTAATGAATAAATATGGAAAAAATAAGCGCTATCGCACAAAGTCAATAGCGAAAAGTGAATAATACTCTAAATGTCAGGCTTGCTCCATTGCTATAGTCGACTCTCCCTGTAGTCTTCCCCAAGGACCCTCTTCAAGAAACCCCTCCAAGCGGAGTTGTTGAGCATCTGTCAGAATATTTTGGGAACCAGAAGCATCTACTGAATCCATATGAGTACGTAAAGCAATTCTTGCTATAGCAAATTTTTCATGCAAAAGTGATCCTTGATTTGACGACATGTTAGCCTCAGTAGACGTGTCTAGTAAATATTCGAAAAAGCCTGCTGAATTAAGAAACAACTGAAGGCCCCACGACTATAAGTGAAAAAAAGTGCAAGTTATATAAATAATAAGTTGAAGTAAATGAATCTAAGCATTAGACAATAAGCATACCTGGCTGGCAATGGAAGCTAACAGACGGAATGTAGAAAATCTAATGTCCTGAAAAGGTTGTCTAGCCATTTCAAAAATACGACAAAAGAGTTTGCTAGCCGAATCTGTTTGTGAAGCAGCATCCTCAGACATCGCATTCGAGTGCGAGCCAATCGAGGAAAACCACTTTCTGGTAATTCTTTCATCAATTAATCTCCAATTTTCATGACACCTGGATGAATCGAAGTCAGGGCAACGCCCGACTAATTCTGTTACACACCCAATAGCCCGAATTTTCACTTGGTCGGAGGAAGTGATAATCAGTTTTCCCAAATTTCTAAGACTTCCCGGAGGTAGACAATTATCTGAAAATGAAAGTTGAATTAAATAAAATTTGGCAGTTATGTCATCGTACGAATAAGACGTGGGTGTACAACTAATATTTCATCCCCTAAAGCCTATATTCGCCATGAAATAAGTTTTACTCTAAGACTAACATTGAAAGACGAAGTTTAGTAGTTTGGACCTTTATTGTAAAATGATGGCTGTCTAAGGTAGCAGAAGGCTCGATTCTTTAATTGAATTCCATTCTGCCAGGCAAT